TTTACTGCCTGCTATCCAGAAAGGCAAAGATTTGGGGCATATGGGCAATCATGCTCATAGTAAAGATATGAATGACCAGACCCACGTCCTACCCCACTGCCTCTGCTGCCTGTCCCAGCTCCTGGTCCTAGACAGGGCTCTTGTTTGCAGCGGGCACCCCTCTGGTTTCCATAGGAGCCTGTGGGTTGTCAAAAACCTTTCCTTTGGTGAGCGCCGATAAGAACTCAGAACCAGAGAAGTACATCCAGCAAAAAGTAGATAAAAAGTATGTCTGTTTTGGCATAAAAATTGGGGGGGGGGGGCAAAATTTTGTCAATACATACCTATGAAAGGTCTGTGGTCCAGGAAGGTAGAATCTCAGTGCCCGCCCTTGCAAACATTGCATAACCAGGCCAGGAGGAGGCAGGCCGGAGAGCTCAGAATAACGAGAGACTGTGTCCCCCTGGGCAGCTAAAAGCAGCAAAAGGAAAAGCTGAGAAACTCCTGGGCACACACAGGTGCACAGTTGGCTCTGTACTTGGAGGGGAGGGGAGGGGAGGGGAGGGAAGAGAAAGAAGAGAAGAGGGGAGGGGAGGGGAGGGGAGGGGAGGGGAGGAAAGAGAAGAGAAAGAAGAGAAAGAAAGAAGAGAGAATGGGAGGGGAAGGAAAGGGAGGAGAGGGGAGGGGAAACGGGGGAGGGGAGGGGAAACGGGGGAGGGGAGGGGAGAAGGGAGGGGAGAGGAGAAGGGAGGGGAGGGGAGGGGAGGGGAGTGGAGAGGGGAGGGGAAAAGCCTGGGAGCCTCTGTGACCTGGGTGCTATAGAAAGCAGAGTGGGGATTCAGTGTGCTAACGCTGTACTGGGGGTGCCCTTGGGATCTATACCCCTGGGAAGAAAGAATTGGGAGCGCACAGCATGAAGTCACACCCCATAAGGCCCATCCCAGGGGAGCCTGGAAGCCCTGGAGTGAGATTAACTGTCACACTGTGTCACTCACCCTCCCCCATCAGCCAGCAACACTGGAACCTTCACACCACCACCTCCGCCAGCCATGGGCAGTGGACAGCCCTGGGAAGGGTGAGACTTGGGCCCAGAGGCTCCTTGCAGCTGAGAAGATCCCTAACTGGGCTGGTCTCAGGATTGGGGCTGCCAGCCGGAAACAACTTCCCACAGCACTCTCGGCAACTGTGCAGGAAGATGGTCCTGGAAGTAGTGTGTGTGTGAGATCACAAAGCCTACCCTGAGAAAATAGTAGGGATTAAATAATATCCATCCATTCAGTGGAATACCATAGTCATTTGCTTAACACATCTTATGAACCAGCACACTATGATAAAAAGTTGCACACATGACTGGGTATTGTGTCACAGTGCGATAAGCCACTGCATGGGATGTCTGTGTCCTGCACCCTAGTAGGACTTATAGTCCTCACTACTCTGCACTCCCCACCCAGCTTCCTACTAACACGCTTGGCCCAGGTACTTAGGCCCCTGCCACCTCTATGGAAGAACAAGATGGAGTTCCAGGCTCCTAGTTTCCATATGGCTTAGCCCGGGCTGTTATCTGAGGAATGAACCCACAAATTGGAAGTCAATCTCTCTCTCTCTCTCTCTCTCTCTCCCATGAATCGACAAATCCTTAAAAGGTGCTAATGCCTCAGTCTGATAGAGGAGAGACATACCAATGACTAATCAGAGCACAAAGTGGCCATTGAAGAAGCAGAGGCAGGTGCTAAGGATAAACACAGCACATAGGACAGTGGGACCTACCATTCCTGGGGACAGGAAGTCTAAAAATATTTTTAAACCCGAATCCAGCATAATGGTTCAGTGGCTAAATCTTTGCCTCACACCGCAATCCTACATGGGTACCAGTTTGTGTCTCAGCTGCCCCACTTCCCATCCAGTTCCCTGTTTGTGGCCTGGAAGGGAGATAAAAGATAGCCTAAAGCCTTGGGATCCTATACCCATGTGGGAGATCCAGAAGAAGCTCCTGGCTCCTGGCTTTGGATCAGCTCAGCTCTGACCTCAGTGGCTACTTGGGGAGTGAACTAGTGGGTAGAAGATCTTTCTCTCTGTATCTCCTCTCTGTAAATCTGCCTATCCAATAAAAATAAATAATTTTTTAATTTTAATCTATTTGAGTGAATGAAAGAGAGAGAAGTGGAGTGAAGTGTTTGCTGGTTCACTCTGCAAATGCCTCCAACAGCAGGATCTGGGAACCCAGTAGACGTCCCCCTGCAAGGCTGGCACGAACTTACCATGTGAGCCATCATCGCTGCTTCCCAGTGTCTGCCTGGGCAGAAACCAAGTCAGAGCCAGGAAGCAAAGCCAGTAGACAGATATGGGATGCAGCTTCTCAACTCAGGTGGCTTAACCCCTGAGCCAAATGTTGGTCCTGGTTGACATGGCAGATAAAGGAATAGGCAAGAGGATAGAGTCACAGGAAGGAGAGGTCATTTCAGATAAGAAGTCCCTGGAGAAGGCTGTTGGCCTGAGAGGGCATGAAAGACCTAGAGACATCACCCAGCAAGGTAAAGCCAGAGAGGGACAGCGGTGTCAGACTGTGGCTGGGTAGGCATTGCAGGGAGGGGGGACAGGGGTTTTCTGAACAAAGGACTGGCATGAAAGCAAATACAATTTAGAAGGCAGGCTCCAAGGTGGAGCACACAGACAGCCTTGGGTGGTCTGCAGAACCCCAGGTTAGTCACAGGTGTGGAAGGACCAGGCATGCAGGGAAGACACCTTTTCTTGGGTACCTGCTATGTTCCCAAGGCAGCTACCCATCCCCTGCCCTGTGATTTCTCAAGATTTTCACTTCTCATACTCAATCTCCAGATTGCCTGGCATAAGGATGACCTCTGCAGGTACCTGTGCCCCTCCACGGGTATCAGCCTAACCTCAGGAAGGTAGACATAGTCCAAGCTCTCTATACAGAGAAACAGGTAAAGAGATGAGAGACCCTTCTAGCTTCTGAATCAGTCTCCGAGTGACCAACCATAGCAGCCAGGGCTGGGTCAAGTTTAAGTCCCCAAGACCAAGGCCTCTTCATTGCACTGCTAGCCTGGTGCACAAGCCATAGTGAGCAGGAACCTAAAAGCAGCCGGTCCATCTGAAGGGCTGGAGAAGGCTATGAGGAGGCTCCAGTTTGAGGAAGCCGACCAGAAGGACAACCAGAGAGATTTTTCCTGCCTTTTGGAACTTACTGTGTTGTCTTTCTAGGGTTAATTTAGGAACTGATGCTGTAGGGTTCTGGCTTAAAAAGCCACCACCACCACTATTCTCACTGTTTATTAAGGACCCCTGTGTGCCAAGAGCTGCACCAGGTGCTGCTTTCTGTTCCTTGGAGTAACCTTGTGCAGTGGTTACACAGATGTCTGTGCAGCAGGTAAAGAGATCAGGTGAATGTCCAAGATCTCACAGTCATAAGTCTTCCCAATACCAAGGCCGTGTTCTGTGCCAGAGCAGTGAGGAGGGAGTCTATGGCCATCTGCCATGATGCACGTCAACAGGGAGGTTGGGGGAGAGAAAAAAAGAGAGGGATGGAGGAAAGGAAGGAGGGAATGAAGGAAGGACATTACTCTTTCCAACACTTTTTCATCAGGGATCTGGGAGGCCCATAGCACAGGAGGTCCCAATGCTTTAGGGTTGTCCCTCCCAAAGCCCCACCCCCCCGGGCTCATCTAAGAAGAAGCAGGGGTAGGAGTAGTTGAAAGGCTGCCCTGGATGACCTTCAGGCTCCTTACAGACCTCACCTGGCACCTGGGGTGCCCTTAAAATCACCCTTCAGCAAGTATTGACCCAACTCAGCAAAGCTCCCAGTGCTGAGTTGGGGAATGAGAAGCAGGGAGGGAAAAAAACAAAGCCCCTGGCCTCTGGGCAAGGGAGACAGGAGCTGAGCACATCTTTGCAGAGCATCTTCCATGTGCGAGTGCCTTTACACTTCAAGCACACCCCAGGTGCTGGGGGGTCAGCACCCTCATCCTACAGAGGAAGGAGGCTTGGCCAAAGCGACACAGTGGTATGGCTCAGCTTGAGCCCATCCTGTTAGCAGGTTGCTGTTCCTCCTCTGTGGCATAGATAGCTACCCTCCAGGGACAGCTCCACATGCTTGGGGGAAATGACGGCTGCAGCCACCCAGGAAGACCTCCCAGAGGAGGTGGCTGAGCTCTGGGTCTTGAGGAGAGGGTCACAACTCCGAAGTGGATGGTGACAGAAGTGGTTTGAGTGAGCTCATTCTCTAGAACATGCAGCCGGTTCCCTGGCTGTTTTTGCAGCCAGCAAGAGGACTTTTTGGTATAGCAGGAAGGCAGAGCCCTGACTCACCAGCCGGTGACCCTGTGGGAGGAGAAGAGGGGCCGGAGAGGGACAGGTGCCTCCCTCAGTCCAGCAGGGCATGGAGGCCTCTCTTCCCTGAGTCCCAGCCCTCACCCTGCCCCAACTCTTCCGAGCACCCACAAGTCCCAGGCAGCTTATCCCAGGCCAGGCTTGTTTCACTCCTTCTCCTAGACTCACTGGTTCAGTCTAAAGATGGAATGGGTTCAGTGGGGAGTCAGTTCCCTCCCAGCTGAGCCAACAGTCTTGGAGCAGGACAATAGATAATTGCAACAGAGAGCAAGCAAGGCCATGAGCTAGGCCCAGTGGAATGTGGCTGTCTCCCAGCCGTCCTGTAAGGCAGGTGCTGTTGATATGCTCATCTTACAAATGGGGAAGAGGTGTCATGAGGTCACACAGCCAGCAGGATGCTGGGCCCCAACAGGAGCCCAGAGGATCACCCCTCATGGCTCTGCTTTATGCAGGGGTTCATGAGCCCCCACCAGAGCCACTACTCTACCTGGGGTGTTGTGCCTAGTTCAGCTTCTCCACGCCCTTCCCACTTACCACTTGCTGAGGGCTCTCCCCTAACATGACAGCCCCTCCCAAGAAGGGATAGCCCCCACCACCTGGGAGGCTTCCCCCACCCTGCACCCACAGGCACTCTCACCCCTCTCCCCCAACCGAGCACCGTTGCCTTTTGTTCACAGTGATGGCTCCTGTGCCCAGGCCGGTGGGGGCATGGAGGACTCCGTGGTGGCAGCGGCAGCGGTGGCAGCCGGCAGACCCAGTGCCCATGCCCCGAAGGCTCAAGCCCAGGAGCTACAGGAGGAGGAGGAGGAAGAGCAGCCAGGGGCAGGGGGTGCCTCCCCCAGGGCCGGCCCCCAGCACATGGGCTCCCCTGGTCAGCAGCAGCCTGCCCAGGCGACGGCGCTCTGCTCCCACGCCCCTGCCGCCTCCGATTACGAGCTCTCCCTTGACTTAAAGAATAAACAGGTACCCAGGGCCTCCCAGGGGGGTGGGGCGGGTGGTGCCGGGGCCCTGACCTAAGGGCTGTCCAGGGCTCCAGGGTCTCCCCATCCAGGCCTGCCTCTGCTTCAGACACAGTTTTGCCCTGTGCAGCTCCCTCATCTGCCTTTCCCTGGAGTCCAGGTCCTCAGAGAGCTAGCCCCAGGACTCTGCCTAGCCTACCACCAGGGACCTAACAGTGCAGGCTCTGACTGCTGCAGTACCAGGCCCATGGCAGTGGACCAGGAGCTCTGCGACTCTCACCATGTGCAAGGAGCCCAAAGTGCAGGCTGCCTGTGGCTCTGTGCTAAAAGTCCCACCTCCACTCACTGCTTAGGAGAGAGTGAGCCCAGCTTCATGCCCATGTGCAAGCTCAGTGCCTGGGACACACAGTCCCACATGATACAGAGACAGGGGTCTCCTCCAGAAAGACTAAGCATTCCTGAGGTTAAGCTGGACTGGGGATAGGAAGCACTGAATCCCCTGGATTGGGGGACGAGTCTCCCTAGTATTCTTCTCAGTAGTCCATTCTGCAAAACATGAAATGAGAGTAATCAGTCATGGGGCTGATTCTCACTGAATTACCCTCCCCCCCCCCCAAAAAAAAGATAAAGTCATGGTGTGTCTTAGTGGATGGTTATGAGACCCAAAGAGAGATCAACCCACTCATGTGTATGCGTGTGTACATGCGTGTGCGCCTGCTCGGAAAAAAGATGTGAACACGTGGTACTTTAACTGGGGGTGGGGGGACAGGAAGCTTTGATTTTGGAGACTGGGAGTGGAATCCAAGCATTATTCTTCAGCCGTGTGACTTTGGAAATGCCAGTTCAGCACTCTGGATGGTGGTTTCTTCATTAGTAAAACTGGGAATTAGACCTTGAACCACCTCCAAGGCACATCGGGCTCTAAGCTCAGCAGGTTCTAAAGAGCCCCTCCCTAGCCCCACGGACACGGTGAAGAATAGGACACAAAGAGAGTGGGAGGTCACTAGGACTGAGTCAAACTAACATTGCTTTCTGCATCGCTGCCAAGCCTTATCCTGAAGAGGCAGCTGGAGGCAGTGCACCTGGCTTCCTGTGAAGCACTTGGCAAAATTCCCCAGGATATCTATGTGGGCAAGATAGGTGTGTGTGGATTAAGTGTCAGTGTAGTTAGATGGATTGTTCTCGAACAGATTTTCTCTCTCAGAGCCAGTCTCCGGGTAGGTGAGTAAAGCGCTCTCCTTGGTCCTGTCTGGATCAATCCTTTAGATAAATCCTGGAAGAGAGGCATAAGCGTTACATTTACCAGACTTTCCAGCAACAAGAGGCTGAAGAAGGACAGCTAATGCCTTGATGATAGCACCCAAGATTTTTTGGTTTTAAAAACCCATCAGAACAGATAGTGCTTTAAGTGAGAAAAGTCCGTTGAAATAGAGTAAAGTTTTGCTCTTAACTTCAGAAAGCCCCCAGGACTTATGTTAGATGGGCAGGCTGGGTCCTGGGAGGAAAACTTGAGTGCTTCAGCTACTTGGAAGCTCCAGCAGTCACCAGCAAGTGAAGGGGCTGCCAAGGCAGAAGCACAGCCATCAGCAGCCATTAGCAGCTTTTAGCAGCCTTCAGACAGCTAAAGAAAGCCCCAGAATAACACTGAACACCAATGGTCAGGCATTGTCTAGAACCTATTTAATTCCAAGGATGCACTGAACAGGACAAGTGTTCTGAGGCTTCTAAAGGAGAACAGAATGGACTGAGGTCGTATGGGGAAAACTACAGAAGAGACAACTCATTTTAAGCATGGAAAGGCTAGCTGTGGCTTATGGAATGCTAGTATCCCATGTAGGTGCTTGTTCATGTCCCAGCTGCTTCCCTTCCAATCCAGCTTCCTGTTAATGTGCCTGAGAAAGTAGCAGAGAATGACCCAAGTGCTTGGGCCCATGCACTCACTTGGGAAATATGGAAGAAGCTTCTGATTCCTGGCTTTGGCCCAACCTGGCCATTGTGCTTATCTGAGGGGTAAACGAGTGTGATGACAGTTTCTCGCTCGCTCTCTCTCTCTCTTTTCTATTCTCTCCTCTCTCTCTTTCTTTCTCTGCAACTATCAAACAAATAAATAAAGTTTTAAAATAAAAAGATAAGGGCTGGTGGAGGAAATGAGAACTAGATATATTTTTACTTGACTTATTTTCATTTTATTTGAAAGGGAGAGACAGAGAGAGCTTCCATCCAACTACTTCACCCCCTTGAATGTCTGTAACACCTGGGACAGGATCAGGCCAGAGCCAGGATCTTACACCTTAATCTGGTTCTCTGCCATGTGTGGCAGGGTCACAAATCCCTAACATATCATCTTACTCGTTCAAGCTTATTAGCGTATTAGCGGGAAGCTGGATTCAGAAATGGAGCCAGCCCTTAAAGCCATTCACTGTAATACGAGATATAGGCATCCCAAATTTAACCTCTGGGCTAAATGCCCACCCCTAATGTATTTTCTGTCATCCCAAGTGAAAACAGTGGCACCAAGATGCAAAAGCTATAGACAAGAGGGTGCTAGCTGAATCAACTCTCTGAGTTGTTGGACATACAGAAAGCCCTGCCTGTGAGGAGTGAATGGCCTGTGGCTGGGAGTGCCCAGTGGGAGCTGGCTCAGGACCCCTTAAGAAAGCTACATGGTGATCTGGTTGGTCATTCCATGCAGGTGATGGAGTTCTCCAAATTCTACAGTTCCCCCAGCACGTTAAGAGAGTACCTTGCAAGCATTTTTGTGTCCTTCCCCAGCACCTGGCAGAGTGTCTTGGACAGGGTTAAAATCTCCCTGAGTGGTTTTGCAACTATGATGCACAAAGCAGCAAGGGGGAAGAGCACCAGGAAATGATACAGGTGCTCCTGACCTGCTTCCCAAAGAGGTAATGGCTTTATTCCTGGAACATACAGACAGTGACACTAAAGAAAAGGTGTGCTTGGCCCGAGGCAGGACAAGTCCTTCAAGATGGACTGGCTGGGTGAGGTGACACACTAATTTGGGTCACAGGCTACTTAGGAATGTCACTGCCGTGGACATCTGTGCTTATCAAGTCGATAGAATTGGGTCAGGAAAGTGAGAATGGGTAGGGTATACACAAGTCCAATGGTGGTGGGGAAGGGTGTACAGCTTGGCTCTTTTGTCTGCACCAACAGTGGGTCGGAGTGGGAAGAAGAGGTTAGAAGAGGTTTGAGGAGCTATAGCAAGACCATGGACAGCATGGAGCACATGTTTGCAAGAGACTGACTTCTGCTCCCTTCTCTTCTGACATCAGCCAATTTTCCACTGTGTCCCTTTGGGACGTTATGTCCTATTCCCTTTGCCTCTGTCTCTGAAATCACTCCTCCCCTCAACACCCTTGCCTTCTCTTGCTTTTGGGGCTTCTGTCTCTTCCTCTCTGGCAGCCCTCATGCTCTCCCCAGGCTGTACAAGTGCTCTCAGCCAGACCCCCTGGTCCCTTATACTCCACTGTTCCTTGAAGGCAGGGTGTATTACCAAGCGACCCCCATTTCCCTAGTGTCTGACTCAACACCTGACACCAAGAAGATTCCCGAAGGCTGGGAAGAGCACAGCTGAGTCACAGAAACGGGGCAAGGGGCAGGCATGCAGCTTGGGACCGGAGTGGGAGTCTTCCAGTCATTCAGAGGTCTTAGATTTAGAATCCTGACCCTAGGACAACCCCTCCCCAACAACACACACACACACACGCTCGCGCGCGCACACACACACAGAGGACCCTAAAGTCCTGAGCTACAAAGGGTCTTGGGTAGCATCTTCATCCACCAACCCACCATGGCTCATCTTACCAACCAGTCCAGAACCCAGGAGTGGTCTCCTTGGCTCTGTCCCCAGTCCCTGTTGAGGTCAACTTCCACCACCTTCCCTGTCCCACTGTGTCTTCTTGCCTTCATAGCCTGCCACCGTCATGGCCTCTTTTGTCTGTGCTCCCCGGGAGGTGGGAGAGGTATCCCCTGAGGTTCCCCTGCTTTGAGTGGCATCTCTCACAGCCCCATGTGCACAGAGCGCTGAGTCATCTTTGCAGAGCACACAGCTGATCATGCAGCTCCCAGGAGTCAATGCAGGACTCACTGTGTGCACGCCTCCCCTGCCTGCTGATTCTCATCAGGATTTCAGATGCTTTCTGTTCTGGCCTTCCACAGCTTTTTCACTTTTCATCCAGGAGCATTTCCCACCTATCTCCTTAGTCCCACTTGACCTGAGCAGTCTCCACTCTTACTTAGGTGTCTGCACAGGTGTCCCAAGCCTGGGCAAAGGACTCCCTGTGACCTGTGGCTGCTTACTTGATGCTGTTCGGTGTTATGTCTGGGGTTGGTGACAAGCTGAACAGACATCTGTTGCATACCTGCAGGAGCACCACTGGGGGGGGGGGGTCAAAGGGGCTCCAGAGTGGCCTGTTGTGTTCAATGTTGGCAATGCTGTGCTCTTTATGGAGTTTTGGTGATGGGCAGGTGTAGGTGACTTTTTCATTAGAGCCCAGGGGTCCCTGGCAAAGAAACCTATCAACAGAAGACCAACCATCAGGATGTCATTGCCAGAGGAGTTTGGTGACCTCACAAGTCATATGTCCAGAGACCCTATAGGGTAGGTTGTACCACTCTTGATTGATTGAGTTAATTTTAGTAAGAGCAAGGCAAGGACACTTGAAGCTACAAGCAGGAGGCTGGGAGATGGTGGGAGACCAGGACCTGACAACATCTAACGTCTACATCAGGGGCCAAATAGAGGGACTCAGTTCTACCCCCTTGCTTACTCTGCCCTTGACTCTCTTCCCTCCTTGAACTCTGGTCCTGGGGGGATACAATCCAGAGAGGCAGGGAGGGAGCAGCCAGTCACCATGGGCACTTCAGGAAGTGACCCACACAGACCCCAGGTTTTGCTTCCAAATAAGTTCAAGTTCTCCAGGGAGTCTGAGTCCTGGTCACCACCACTGAGAGACTCTTGGCACTCATCCGGGCTGTTTCAACTCC